CAACCAAATCAATGCATTTCAGTGAATCACATGATGCGTCCCTGTAGCCTTTACACCAGACCTTCTGAAACTAGCCCCTGGAGATAACAGACATTAAGGGTAGAAGATTCATTCTTTTAAGACTAGAATCTAAAGGGAAAAAAGCTCTGCTAGTCTTCAAACAGAGCTACCTGCTGCAGTACTGGCTGCCATACTTACAGATGAAGTAAAAGTCTCTCTGCTGCAGGACTGATGATTGAAGTCACTTTCTGATAAACTGGGAACTGAAGACACAGCAACCTGCACACCACCTTTCTGCTTCTCTGAGGCCCTTTATAGCACTGAATCCACTGTTTGACTGTGGGGATCTTTATAGCTCAAGATGCCTTCCCATGGGAAGGTAATCAATTTACCCATGTCAGTAACCTTGGTTCTGCCTGGAGGGAAATCCTTCCAGGAGGTTAACTTTGGTTTTGTAAAAGCTTCAGGAAGAGGCGATTTTCCATCAAGTGACTCTATGGTACTGCTTTGCATCTCTTGGAGCTCACTAGAAACCCTTAAGAGACCTGGAAATAAAGTTTAGAACAGTTTGCTCTATCCCAAAGTTTGGAGGGCAAGGAATACCAGATGGAGGAAAATGGCAACTACTGGTGCTCTCATTATAAGTCACAGAAAAGTCCCACTTTGGGTTTGTCTGAAAAAACCTTGTGAGCTATTCATCTACACTATCAGCAAATGTTCGAACAGAAATGAATTCTTCAGGGAATCATCCCATGTGAGGCTATGAGAACACAAGCAAGTTGCTATGACTGGAGCCTCCGCTGCAAATTTATAACACATTAACCACACGCCCCGTCTTCTGCGGTAAATACAAGATAACTTATCCCAGTTCCACTGAGGAACAAGCTCTTCCACACAGGGCAAGAGCTCATGCATAAGCCACTACTGCCAAGTAGTTAAGATGTTAAATTACACCCCCTAGCCTGTTCATGTAGACATGCCCTGAGTAAATTTGTACTCAGAGACTGACAGGACAGTGTGGGTTTCAGGTTTGAATTCTAGTAGAAATCAGAACAAAGATGAGGCACTTCGTACAGTTTGGCACTTTAGAGTCTCAGGTGTCTGTGAGAGGATTAAACTTATCAGCCAAAGAGAAGTCATTACCATGGGAGTTTGGGTGACCTACCCGACAAAAGCAGAATTTAGTCCAAAGCAGGCAAGAGCCCAGGTTTAAAGAGTTGTCACCACCACAAGAGCTAGTTTTGGCCAAACCACTTCTCCATGTGGAAGTAGGTACAACATGAGCACTTATTCTAGAGTTGTGTGTTTTGGTTTAATTCATTTACACCTTGCACCAAACAAACAGTTCACTCCTACACATAATCACTGCAAAAACACTTCTCCTGCTTAAAAACAATCAGAGGTGATATATTACCAATTCACAGTATCCCCAACAAGAAGTCTGTGGGTGTTTCAAAACATATTAGAGAGCAGTAACCATGTGAAAATGCTGTACTCAGATCCCAAGATGCCAGAGGTACAGGCCGGGGTCTGTCTAGCAAACCCGCTTTATTGCAACCATAACAAATCAAAACAGGGGTTTACAATAAAGGATTCTCTCATCTGTGGAGAAGGGGGAGGGAGAAGAGCCTTTACCCTGCTAGAAGTTGTTGAAATACAGGCATGTCTGGTCCCTTCTTTGTCAGGGGTAAGGATACTTCCAGTGATATCAGTGAAAGCACCTGACAAATGTACAACCCTGTCTAGGCAAGTCGACCCGAGACCTGCAACCCGTCACCATCCTCTGTAGCTGCTGGGACTCAAAACTCCGCTCTAAGCACATACTCCAATTGCTGGAACAATTGAAGTGATTCTCCTCTCTAAAGCAAGGCTTCTAGTCTGGAAGGCTGGCAGTAGGAAATGCGGGGCATGAAAAAGCTTACAAACTCCATACACTGCCTTATAATTACAGTTTCAGAAGGTTTTAATGTACACATCAACCATTTTTTCTTCTTTAGACTTAATTCTTGGGAGATCTTTTTTAAAAGTCTTTGAACACTGCTGTTGGTTACCCTATTGCAAACACTTACCCAAGTTCATAAAGCAATTAGCAAGTTTAACAGTAAGCGCACCAATCACTATCTGGATGTGTAAATATTTGCAATAAGATAATCTTACACTTCAAGGTCAGTTTGCTTTAGATAGTAAGGAAAGGAAAGTCAAAGCGAACACTGCATCTCTCAAGATAAACGTATTGCAGGTAAGACTGACAAGTTAAGACTACCAATGTATTCATCTTAAATTAGATCCCTTAGTTCTGAAGAATACACCCAAGAGACAAGTATATGTTAACAGTTGTGTTCATCTATAAGAAGGGAACAATTTTTGAAGGGTGCTTACTTCTGACATTTCAAAGTTAAAGCCAGTACACCCTGTGCTGCATCAGGTACAATTGTGTGTATAATGTACAATGTACATATTGAAAACAATATGGTTTAAACCAAATAAGTGAATTTAATATAATTATTTTTCTGTAGCTGCACATGCCAGACGAGATAAACTAAAAGCCATTTCACACACATAGGCCTGCAGAAGATAGGGGCAATAATTATTAAAAAAAATAAATGAGAGGTAGCATATTAACAGACCTCATAGGATAATGGAAAAATCTTTGCACCTGCAGAAAGTACAGGAATCCCAACAGTGACTTTATGCATGGGTCAAACACTGCATTGTCCAAAGCAAAGGGAAGGCACGGATTGCAGCTAAAACAGCATTTATGGAGAGCAGTGTGTGGATGGATTAAATAAGGAAATTGTCCTGCCAACTGATACACGTGAGCTATAGGAACGTAAGGAGAAGAACAGGGAATTCTCCTTCTGGTATCTTTAGTAAGGTTCAGAAAGGTGAGGCTAAAAAAAGGCAGCTAAATAAAAACTGACTTTCATTAAAAGAAAGTGAAAGCCCAATTCTGTAAACTTCAACTTGGTAGATAAGGCTAACAGTGAAGAAGGATATAATTAAAGGAAAATGACAGGTTGTCCTAGCAGCTGATGTGGACTGAATTTTCAAATGGTAAAAAAATAAATAAATAAATAAAAATACTTTTTTCATGACAAAATGAGATTTCTTGTGTAGCAAAAACTCATCGGGATAGGCACAGGCACACACGCAAGTTACCATGAGGTAAGCTGGGACATGAACTGGGACACTTGTCAGCAACTGCCTGTGAAAATCCTACCGCCCGTTCTCAGGACAGGTACAATACCACACATGGCAATACACGGTGCTACTTACCTGTAGTACCACAGAACTGTGAGTGTTGCTGGTGAAAAATCTGGTGGTCCCTGTCTTCGAAGACTGCAGATGGGCAGACACGCCCATATCGCTGCTACCAAGAGACACTTTCATGTGAGGATCTTCCTCTTCCACCAGAGATCTAAAAAGATTTTAAAAAACCAACCTTAATTCACATCTGTTTCCATTAATCATTGCTACACACTGAAACCAGAGTGGGGGTAAAGTTCTTCTGATTTCGGGGTGAGTTGAATCATGTCCTTATGATTCATGAAATCGACCCAAGGGGAACCTTATGTGTTTATGGGTTGTGAATAGTTTAAATACTTCAGTGTCCTTTTTCAGCTTTTCAACAAAGACCAGTAAGAGTTTTGATAAGCAGTCTAAAACAAAGCTAATTCAATTTTAAAAAGAAAAATATAGAATTGGATACTTCCCTACAAATTTACCTCCATTAGAATTTCAACTCAGTTTAAGATGCTTTGCACTCTCTCAGATTTGTGCATCAACATACTAGGGCTCCAATGGCCATCTGAAAATATTGATGCAAAAGGTATTCTTAGGAGTTTAAAAGATTAATTTTTATAGATTAAACCATCTTGATTGATTATGGGAGGAAAAAAAAAAGTGATAAGAGGTTTCTTACATAGAGTCGCATACAAGCTTCAGACCACATCTCAGGGACATGCAACTCAAAGGGGCTTTGTGGATCAGCTAGTCCAGCCCCCTACTTCCCAGGCAAATGGATCAAACAACCCTTTTCGTACAGTGCGACGGTTCAGACCATCTGGGGACATTACTGCCTCCAAAAAAATATTTGCCAAATATTAAGTGGGAATTTCTTTTAAAAAATCAGTGTTTTAAATTGCCACAATGCTGCTGGCTTGCTCCTTTCATCTTGTGATGTCACAAATTTATAAAAATATGTCTGACATCCAAGATCTATACTTATATAAATGCTGTTTTATTTATATTTAAATAAAAATACACAAATGCAAGGCTCTAAGCACACAGTTTATATATAGTCCAAGAAACAACATCTTTTCGTGTGTAAAATATCTGGGCATTACATCTTTAAACTACGATTAGCTAGTCTCAGTATCTTCTGATTTGTTTAATGTAATAAGTTATCAGAGCGCACACACTGCAAGCTTCCATAGCAATCGGATGCACACTGCATGCTTCTACAGCAATTTGCAAGCCTATTATTAACTCACAGAATACAGGATGCAAAAAATCCCTTTCTTAAATCAAGCATTCATAATACATAACCAATGTGGATAAAATTGCTGCAAATCTCAGAAATAAAAGCAATATACAGATTATAACATGCAGGTAAAAACATTGGCCTCCAAACTAGTTTCAGAAATCACTTAAAATGTCATTGCCACAAGCCAAATTGAACTTTGAAGCTCCAACTTTCCATATTCCTCTTTCCTTGAGGAAGCCCAATTAAGAAAAGAAAAGGGCTTTTAACAAATTCTCATCAGCACACCAGCTTCAAGTTGACTAGTTAAAGCAGTTTCTGAAACTTCAGAATTTTTCTGATAGCGTTAACATGTGTTCATTCAAACCCATGATTATTTTTTAGAACCAGCCATAAAGCAGATTCAGGACAAATCATTTTCATCACTCAACAATGCACATGGGTTTGAAACAGAGAGATTTCATGTACACAGACGTAACACCACCACACACTGTAGGAACGCGGGCATGTTTAAAGTCAAATGCAGTAACCTAATAATCACACATTTGAACAAATTACAATAAATGTGAAAGCGAGGAAATTAAGAAAAGTTAAGATTTAAATCCCACTGAAAAATTTCTTTAAAAATATAAAGCAATATTTCACATTGAGTATTTTGCTCAAAGTTACACTCCAAAGTTCATCTTGGACATACAAATAGTTGAAACATTCAAGGGAAATGAGTGCAGCAGTTTCTAGTTTGGTGATCTGTAACATTTAACAAGACACTAAATGAAACAGTTTTTAGTTCACGACTTGAACATTTTAACAAGAAACCAAGCAACTGGCTCTGTCCTGTCTGATGGGACTGTGAGTGATAGGTGGCTTTATTTGCCAGACATAACTTTCTATGCCACATTTCTCACAAGAATGGTCTTTTTTTAGTGTAGCACAAAGGACAAAGGATCACGAAGATTCGATTTAAAATTACATTTCCTTTCACAGAAGTGTAGCCATTTTTATTAGAAGCCGAAGATAACCACAGAAGCAATGACTTTCAATCAACATTTCAACTCAAAGAAAGAAGGTTCACACCTCCAATACAAAATAACTAGAAAGACAGGTAGGAACACTTCCTGGCCAAAATTTTTAAAGGCTTTTAAGATTTGGCAATAATGCACCATGCTGAATCTAGACACTCAGCTATACTC